AGAGTGACCTCAGTCATCTCTCCTTGTGGTTACAGTTAGAGACTGGCCATGTGGAGTATTGGTGGGAATGTGGAGAAGCTGAAATTCTCACACCCGGTGGCTAGTAAAGCAAAGTTGTGCGTGCTTCGTGTAATGACTCTGCAAGACAGAGTGGCTGACAGGTGGTGGTCTGGGATCAGGTAATGCAGGGCTGGCTTCCCAAGGAAGGAGAGCATTTTGCAGGTAGCAAAGATGTTCATTTCTCTGTCTATGAACTCGCAGGTGTATGTGTATGCTAAAGTTTGATCACAGTTTATATTTAAAATGTGTATCATAATTATAAAGTTGTTTAAAAGATACGCATTTTGAAATTGAGATCTAATAAAATGGTACTTCCTATTGTTTTGTCAATAAACATTTTAAAAAGAGTTGCTTTTACTTATTAATTTCAGTGTGTGTATGTGTGTGTGTGTGTGTGTGTGTGTGTATGTGTGTGTATGTGTGTGTGTTCTTGTATGTGGAAGCTTGGTGGGATAGCTTCCTGTCTGGCTGTCCATTATTCACTTGAGGAAGTGTCTCTGTCTGAACAAGCCCTGACAGTCCCCTTGACTCCACTCCTTCATGAGTAGGATTCCTACCCTTGGGGGAACACCCTGCTCATTGTGTGGTTGCTGGGACCCAATCTCCAGTTCTCATGATTGCAAGCAGTCTTAACTACTGACCTGTCTGTCTCTTTAGTCCATTTTGATAAATTCTTAAGTAAATCTAGCTATTTTAATTTTAATTTCTCTTATGTTTTTTACTCTACACACTGCAGTAGTCTTTTCATTTTCATTTATATATATTTAAATATTGTGTATTTCCTATATTATTTTTTCCATTTTTTTTGAGAAAAGGTCTCACCATGTACAGCATCTTCAGTGTTTAAAACATAAAGCTTACTTGTTACTTTCCACAAGAAGAGTCTGAGAATAGGAAAAGTTGCAATAAAGAAAAAAATAGCGAATGTTAAAGATTTCCAGAAGCACCTAGAATGAAGTAGGGATGGAAGAATGAATGAAGAAAGGCGAAAGAAAGATATTTGGTGCATAAGACTCAAGAAAGGCTCTTAACCTCCCCCAACCCTGGTCCAGAGACAGCCATATTTTCTTGTGGTGTGCCAGACTAGTCCCTGACACATGATGGCGAAGGTGGGAGTGAATGGATTTGGTTGTATTGAGTGCCTAATCATCAGGGCTACCTACAACTCTGGTGAAGTGAATATTGTTGCCGTTAACCACCCCTGCATTGGCTTCATCTATATGGTCTACTTGTTCCATTATGATTCCACCTACAGCAAGATTCACAGCACAGCCAAGGCTGAGACTAGGAAACTTGTCATCAATGGGAAGGCCACCTCTACCACACTTCCAGGAGTGTGATGCTGGTGCCAAATACATTGTGAATCCTACTGGTGTCTTCACCACCGTGGAGATGGCCAGGGCCCACTTGAAGGGTAGAGCGAAAGTGTCACCATCTCTGCCCCTCTGCCAATGCCCCTGTGTTTGTGATGGGTGTGAACCATGAGAAATGTGACAGCTCACTCAAGATTATCAGCATTGCCTCCTGTCCTGCCAACAGCTTTGCACCTCCACCCCCACCTCCACAGTCATCCATTACAACTTTGACCTCATGGAGGGACTCATGATCACTGTCCATGCTATCTAGTCAGAAGACTTTGGATGACCCACCTGGGGATCTGTGGCATGATAGCTCTGAGGCTGCCCAGAAGACCATCCTGGTATCCACTGACACCACCGAGCTGTGGGCAAGGTCATTCCAGAACTGAAGAGGAAACCCACTGGCATGGCCTTCCATGTTCCTACCCCCAGAGTATCTATCATGGTTGTGACATGCCATCTGGGGAAAGCTGCCAAAAATGGTGACATCAAGAAGGTGGTGAAACAGGCATTGGAGGGCCCACTAAAGGGCATCCTGGGCTACACTGAAGACCAGGTTGTCTCTTGTGACTTCAACAGTAACACATACTCTTTTGCCTTTGATGCTGGGGTTAACATTGATTTCAGTGAAAATGCTGTAAAGCTCATTTCCTGATACAACAATAAAGGGGGTTGGACCATGGACTTTGAAGGAGTAAGAAGCCCTGGACCACCGAGTCCTGTAAGAACAAGAGAGAGAGAGACAGACAGACAGACAGAGACACACACACACAGGGATCCTTGGTTGCTGAGGAATTCCTGTCCCAACTCAGTCCCCAACACACTGAGCACCTCTCCTCACAGTTTCCTGTCTTAGACCCCCCCAGGAGAAGGGAAGGGGCCTAGGGAATTCTACTGTCTTGAATGCCATCAATAAAGTTCACTGCACGCCCCCTATAGGAATCAAGAGATGTGCAAGTGGAAGGTAGGGGTTTGTAGATTTGTGGGAAGTTGTAAGAAATTGAGTTAAAACTCAATTGATCAAAAATCAGTCACTACACAAAATATTAACCATTTGTACAAGTTCCAACATCCTCTTCAAATGCACCTGAGTACTTTTGGGTACTCAATGCCAGGCCTATATGTGTATTTGCGTACAAATGCTCTTGAGTACCCAGAGAGATATGCTGCTTAGGTCTCGCTTCAGGGAAGGACTGCTCCAGCTGTTGGAGTGCTGCTGGCTACAGCTTTCTTGGCAGCACAGTCTCTTGCAGAAATCCCTCCATCGAGATGAACCGATAAAGACCAAGCCATTTTGGCCCATCGCAGGACCACCTTGACTGCTATTTCAGCTCCATGGCCCCCATCTGGTATAAGGGTCCCACTTAGATGTTGACAGCTGCCTCTGCCTTCTCCTTGGGTTTGTCCCAAGGGCACACCCTAAACACATCCTACTTTCTAAACCCTTCAGAGTCTGCTTCCTGTGGATGCCAAAGTGCAAGAACATCTCACTAAAAATTACAACACAAATCAGAGACCTAGGGAGAAGGAAGCATGGCAAAGTGATGTTAACATTTTAGCTTAAGCAATTCCACAGTTTTATTTTGAATGGCTTTCACTTAGCATGCTATTGTGGTTCACCTTTTTTTTTTTTTCCAACATAGGTTTGGAATTTCTTCTTCTTCTCTCTCAAAGGAGTCATACTGTGAAAACATAAAAAAAAAAAAAGAAAAAAAAAAGCAAAGAGGTAAGCAAGATAGGTTCTTCATTCCTTAACCATTCAGGAAACCCACTATTTCAAGGTTGCCTTAGTTACAAAGAGGAAGTATACTAGAAACTGTTGATAGTGGTTTGTTCTGAATACTGAACCAAAAGAAACTTCTAAAAAGGTCTGATTATGAGAACTGTCCCTGGGTATCCCAAGGAAAACAGCTAACATTAGGTCTGGATATGTAAATTGTCACACAAACCCTAGACCCGAATACAGTTACAGCGATCCGTAGACTAGCAAAGAGACACCTCCATTCCGTTTTCAATTGCAGCACCGCTCTCCCTAAAAACACACTGTAGCAGCCAAGCTTAGGAAGATGTGTGTACGTGTGTGCTTCTGAAAGATTTCATTACCATTAACTTTGGTTCCCTAGAAAATAGTTCCTTGTGTCTTTGTTCTGATTTTTCTAAAAATTCGATGTAGCTGGGAGCCGACTTGAGACAGAAGGAAGCTTTATCCTCATTGCGAAGAAGAGACCATCTTCACACCTCAGGCCGGAAGTACCCTACCACTAAACCACTAAACCACCGGCTAGCCCTGCTTCTTCTCTCTCCTCCTGCCGTGCTGGCGACTGAACACGTGTGCCTCACACTGAGACCCATATCCAGCCAGTCTGTGTGTTTTTCTTTTTTAAGATAGGATTGTCTAGATAATAATGATTTATGCTGCCAAAAAAAAAAAAAAAAAAAATCACCCAGTGTCTGCAGGAGATTGTTTCTTTCTGGTATTATCCTCTCAGTATCATAATCCACAAACATAATCCCTTGTATACAAATGGCATAACGTTTGCATATAAAAGGAGCATCCCCCCCCCGTAGACTTTTAAACTATCCATAGTTTGATTATAACACTTAATGCCACACAAACACGTATTATGCTCTTTATGGAATAAAGATGTTCCTTTATTCCTTACTAGGATATTCACATATAGCACACACACAAACTCCTGTTATTTTCGTTTTGTGTTTAGTTGAATGTTCGACTCTGAACCAGTGAAGCAGAAGGCCACCTCTCCTTTTGGAGACAGCCATTAGATATAATTACCTTCGCGGGCCACTGCAGTATTTTACGTCTCATATATTTCAGTAGTTATTTCGACCCACCAATTACGTGCCATTTTGGGAATACAGTGGTCTGTCTCTTAAAGGCGAGGCAATTCTTTTCGAGCAAAGAGACACAAGGTCAAAATGGCCACCTCTAGAGAAGTGGTCCTCAACCTGTGGGTTCAAAGATCCTTTACAGGGCGCGCTTAGGACCATCCTGCACATCAGATAACTACACTGCGATTCACGACAGCAGCAAAATTACGGCCAAGACGTAGCAACAAGAACAGTTTTATGGTTGGGAGTCACCACAACTGTGTTAAGGGATCGCAATATTAGGAAGGTTGGAAACAGCTGTTCCAGAGAAACGCTTTCTCTAGGGGCTTCCAGGCTTTTCTAGGAAGCTTCCGGCTTCCTCCAGGGAGGTCTCACTTTCCACACGTGTCAAATGGGGTTAGCGGAGTAAACGGGAGCACCTAGGTCCCGGGTGCAGAGCATTGCACAAACACTGACTCTGTCCAGTCCCATCCATGAATAGGTGCAGAAAACCACTTACAGCCCCCAGGACCTGTTAAACTCTTTTCCTTTCCGTGACTCCCTTCTAAGGCGCTGTGGATCACAGGAAGTCTTTTCCATGCTCTTCCTTCCTTTCGAGCTCTCCAGGGCAGCCCAGTCCCCTGGCTAGGTGGCGTCTTGGGGAGGGGGCCTGCTGGCTTCTGTGTGTGCTGCGCAGCGGGAGGCCACAGGAGGCGATGGGGAGGCGGGCACAGTCAACCCGGGGGTGGAGAAGGGGGAAGGCGACCGGCGCGCGTTCCCGGGCTCGTGACCGTCGGCGGCCTGGGCAATCCGCGCCCACACTCTGTTGCAGAGATGGCAGGCGGCAGAGCCCGGCGCGCCGTGGGCTCCCTCCACCTGCTGCTGCTGGCCTCCGTCCTGTCCCTGACAGCCGGGAGTCGGAGACCGGGCTCCACTGCCTGGACTCAAGAAAAGGTGAGGGGTGGCCGCTGCGCGCTCGACCTCAGTGGCTCTCGGAGGGTGCCAGGACGTGAGACTCGGCCACCTTCTCCCGGACTAGCGGGAGGTGGGTCAGGGATGCTGTCCTCCTGCCCGGTCCCTACTCCACCCGGGGAGCCCGTGTTCTCTTTCCCAAGCCTGGGCGCCAGGGCCGGTCTCTAGGCTGAGCTGGAGACTCCTGGGGGCTGGGTGATGTCACCGCCTCCCTTTGGCTGAGCTCTGATGGGGGTGCTGATAGGCACAGGAAGTGTGTATCTCCCTGGCTGTACAAGAGCAGGGATTTGGGGGCGCCACGGTCCACTCGCGACCCGCGAGGCCGGCGATCCCCACGCTCACGGAGCTCCTGGGTGTCTAGACTGCGCGTCTAGGGGTGTGTCCGCGGAACCCCAACTACCGCATGCAAAGATGTTCCACGGGGTTTGAGTTTCCCTGCCGACTCAGCGCCAACGTATTGTTAGATACTTAAACTCAAAAGAGGCCCATGCTGTTTTCAGATAAATGAATTCAGTTGTGGAAATCTCATTTAAGGAATACAGAATGAGAACGATTTGCCAAGTTGCTCAGTGTGAAGAAAACAGATTCACAATTACTTCCTTTTCTTGTGCAACTGTTTTGAAACCATCAAACTGCTAAGGGCTGTGCAAATGTTGATGGTTTCGGAGTAAAACGCCATGCCTTTTAAGAAACTAAGAAAGGCATCAGTCGAGGGATACAAACTTTAAACAACACTACCAAATGGCTGTTCCCGACGCTCTCAGCACTTCTGCACGTCCGAAATGCTCATTCCCAGTTAGCCTCACGCACTTGTGTTATGAATGGCCCACTTCAGGTGAGCTCAAGCTTAGCCAGCTTCTCCCGGGGCTCACGACAGATCCCCATTACACCCGGAGCGCAGTGGGCGCTAGGGAAGTCAGCTCACTCAGCTTCAATCACTCCCTCGAGGATTAAAACGGCTTCCCGCAGGGGCTTGAAGCGCTGCCTGGCAGCTGAACAGAATTCTCTGTGGCACTGCTTTGGGGGTACCTGGGAGGTCAAGCACTGGGAAGGAGATATTCAAACCAGACTATGGCACCAGGTCAAATGTTTCTTTAAGGAATATTTAAATGTGTGGGATGTATTGTCAGGGGCTGAGCATGTGTGGTAGGCAGGGGTGTTTCTAGGTGGGACAGCATTCTGTGATTATTTTTTTATAGGTGTTTTCTCTTTATTTATTCTTCTCTTGCAATATTACATCCCTACATATCACATCCCTATTACAGTCCCCCCCCCCCCTCTTCCCCCCCCCCCCCCCCCCCGCAGATTCACCGTTCTTCACCTTTTCTCAGAAAAGGGCAGGACTTCCAGGGACCTGCTCAACCAAACATGGCATGACAGGTACAGTAAGACCAGGCGTGCACTCTCACCTCAAGGCTGGAGGAAAAGGTCCCAAAGGTAGGCCAAAGAGTCAGAGGCGACCCCTGCTCCCACCGTTAGGAATCCTGCAAGAACACTGAGCTACACAACCATAACACAGATGCAGAGCCCCTATGTCAGACCCAGACATGGCCCCTGATCTCTGTGAGCCCCTTGAGTCCTGGTCAGTTGATTCTATGGACCGTGTTCGTAAAATGGTTTACGCTAACGTGAGTTTAACCTTTGAGAAATAGGAATTTCTGTTTTCTTTATTTTAAGATGCTTCTAATGACTGTTTCGCTGGGAAAGCAAACACTCTCAAATGGCACACCTGAGTGACAGTCAGCCATGACATTTCTCAGTTAATAGCTCCTCCTGCTTCTCCTGGTTCTGAAGGCCTCCATAAACTCTCCCAGGCAGCCAGCTCCACTTTGCAGCCTGGGAGATGAATTAGTCCACACTAAAACACATGCCTTCCTGTCATAAAGGTGTGACGTTTGCCTGTTTTAATCAGAAGGGGTGTGCTCTCTGTGCACCAGGCTGCCTACGGGAGAAGTGTGATAATGAAAGCATCAGTTTTGAAACCCATTGCCTTTGTTTAGAAATGGAGGTGTGCCTCTGTTATTGGTATCTAATGTGCAAAAGCAGATCAACCCTGATTTATGGCTGTATTTAGAACCATGATTTAATGATTTGAAGCCTAGAAACATTATAAATGGTTATGCTCCCAGCTGGACCAGCATCTGCATGTGTTCTAAAGGATATTGACATAAAGGTGCAAGATACAAACTTGTCAGATACATAAAACCCCGTCACTTGAATGTCACAGTATCCCATGAAGACTGTGCTTATCTCTATTTACAGACTTGAAATAGGATTATTAAGCTAGTGAACTGAGGCTCTAGAATTTGGCTTAAACCCCCCCCCTTTTTTTTTTGGTTGTTGTTGTTGTTTTGTTTTTTACTTTCTCTTTTATAACAGGTAAGTATTGGCTGACGGAGGAACAGTGTCTAAATAGCCCAGGTGTGTGTGTGTGTGTGTGTGTGTGTGTGTGTTGGCTTATGGTTTGGAGGACAGAGGAAGACCTTTCTTAACCCTAACCCTAACTAACCCTAACCCTAACCCTAACCATCTCTGTGGGCCAAGATAGATCCCAAGTGGCATTCTGAATCAAGGAGCTTGTTTATGGTGTCTTTTCTTCCCTCACCTCTAGACTCCTGGTTCCTTGGCCTCCCTCCCCAGTTTTCAAGTTATTATTATGCTAAAGGATGATCCATATCTAGAATGACTGTTAGTGAATCCCACCCCTCCCTCATTTCCTGCCCTGGTTCTTTACTGCAGATCCATTTTTTGGTTTAGTGTTTTTGTGTTTGTGTTTTTGTTTAAATAATCTCAATAAATCAATTCTCCTTTAGATGAGAACTGCTGTCATGAAATTTGCAGGCAAATGGTGGGAACTAGAAAAGATCACCCTGGGTGAGGTATCCCAGAAGCAGAAAGACACACATGGTATATACTCACTTACAAGTGGACATGACATATAATATAGAATAAACAAACATACTAAAATCTGTACACCTAAAGAAGCTAAGCAAGAAGGAAGACCTGGGTAAGATGATCAATCCACACTGAGAAAAGCTTCCTACATTTTAAATGAAATGTTAGCTCCAATGAGCTAAATGGTGCAGCTTTACTTGACATGTCCTAGTTGTGAATGTAACATGTACCCATTATAGAAAACTCCAGAAATACAAAATAATGTATTCTAAAAAGAAAACAAACACTACCCACAATCTCATTCTTCATATAATTCATCTTAATCTTTGGGGTGTTTTTATTGCCCCCACCCTATGTACACACACACAGAGAGAGAGAGAGAGAGAGAGAGAGAGAGAGAGAAAGAGAGAGAGAGAGAGAGAGAAAGGGACTTATAGAGATGGGTAACTGATTAAATTTTAGCTAGTTATGAAGATTAAATGAGCATGTACAACAGCACAGTGGCTAGCTTGCATTAAAAGCTAAATTCATGGTATTATTTTAAAAAATATACATAAGTATTTTTGCAGAGTTAGAATTGTACATACAGTTTAATATGATTAATGGTGTGTCGTGAATCTTACTGTAAGCTGATAAAATCCACTGAAAGTGTAACTTGATTGCAAAGTCATCTCAGTTGATAGTTTATTTCTTTGTCTTGAACATTGATGTTGTTCGCAAATCTCTACCAGTAAAGCTAACACATGATGTATTTTAACTAGAAGAAGAATTTTTCCTTATTGTGATAAAGCTGAAGCAGGAAAATTCAGGTCACATTAGAGGCGGAGAGGCAAAGATTCTGAAGGGCACAGGGGAGGTTTCCCAAGCTACAAACTGCTATCTCCAACAGTTCACAGCTTTCTGTTCTAAACCATTTGCTATTCTAAGCTGCCTTAAGATCCCCCCTACTCCATGGCTCCCCTGTGACTCTTGTGGAAACAGAAGACTTCAAGGCAGGGACAGAGAGGTCCATAGGACCTGGGTACCAGTAGAGGAAAACAAAACAAAACAAACAAACAAAAAAACCCCACAACTGTCATCTCATAGTCTCTGCTGTCTGGTGGTTAAGAAACATGACACTCACATTTACACATTAGGAAACTTTCCTTAGACATAACTACTCAATGAGGAGCTGGGATTGGTCCCTCAGTTGTTGTGTCCCTCTCTGTTCTTGTTTTAAGAAGCAAACCCATTCACATTGGACAAAAAGGCAGTATCTTGGTCAGTTTCCAACTCCTTTCCCAGAAGCATCGGTCCTTGGCCCCCCCACACCAGTAAGAGTTTAATCTGACTACTGTCTAGAATGTTCATAAAAGATAGAATCTTGAACTGGTTGTATTTCTCTCATGATCTCTTTTACATTCAGTGCTTTGGAATCCCCATTCCCTGCAGGCTAGGCCACCTTTCCAAATTATGTAACCAAACGCTTCTGGCCTGGGACCATGCTGGAACCATGGGATTAGATGAGAGATGCTTCAGGATATCTGGTTCACAGGTTTGTTTTAGCTGAAAGGTTCTCGTCACCTAGAGCAGACGTCATTGTCCTCTCTGCCTGGATGAAAAGACAAGGCCAGGGCTGTAAGAGAGCCTTGTTCCACTGAGAATGATGGCACCAACAGAAACTGCTGAAGTGCCTTTCAACTGAAATACACCTAAATAAGCTTGGAGTTTGCATTTTCTATTGGGCTTCATGCTGTTTCCTTTTGTTTGTTTTGGGGCAGACTATCACTATGCAGTTCTGTTGTAGAGCTGGAGCTCACTGGGTAGGTCAGACTGGCTTCAAACTAGGAGTGATTCTTCTATCTCTGGCTCTCAAGTGTTGGGGTCACAGGTGTGCCCCTCCGGATCCAGCTTCAGCACTGTGTTGGGTTCAGATACTGCCCTCTGAGCAAATCCTTTCTTCCCACTCTTGTCTCCTTATTCATCCTTGTTTCCAAACAGGCTTTGTAGTTGGTGAGTTTGGAAGGTAGAATTCCTGTAGCTCAGTGGTTCTCGACATTCCTAATGTTGCGACCCCTTGATATAGTTCCTCATGCTGTGGTGACCCC